AGGGGCATATTCAGAATCCTCGTATTTTTTTAAAATGATAGGTTACTTGGAAAAAAGGTGTGTGAGAGTGTATGTACTGCGATTTCTAAGACGCTTGTCGCATTCTTTGGTGTTTACTCTACCTGATAATGTCCGTTATAACATGAACTTTCTGTAACAAAAGCTTCTTTACGTAAAGGTTTAATTTTACCTGCGCTATTATAATGCAGATGCGTTAATTGTGAATATTTATCACCTAGCGATTCTCTGCCTTTGTGTTCGGCAGACGACTGCAAACAGGCGTCAGCACGAGTCCCTATGGAACCTTACAAGAACGAATACCGCTTGAAAATCCAGGAAATTAAGCCTCCTTTGTAACCTGTACAAACGCGTGCAACCATGACAAGCGCTTCAGTGTTGTATACTGTGCGTTTTCTTTATAGAAAAACAGTTTAGGGCCCTAGCAAGGAGGGGAGAAAGTGCTGTGATCTGGTTATTGCGCTGTAAGTTGGGTCGATGCACAAAAAGTGTTTTCTATAGAAAGCGCAAAAATATGAGAAACAAAAAAATGTTTGCTACTCGGAGACCTGAGGTCTCCCGTAGGTCTCCGCTGGAGACCTAAATCACAAAAAGGCACAGCAATTTCTTCATTCTCATAATATTTCATAGATTTTTCAAATACTTCTTCCACTCTTTATTGCTCATCTGTATTTTTGTCAGTTCTGATAAATGTTCATTGCATATTGATTTAGAAAAACGGGTTTTTGTAAATTTCCTAAAATCTTACAAATTTCCCGCGCAAACGCCCGCACTGAAACGAAAACTGAACCTCTGCTGGAGCATGTGTTTCAACATGCTTTAAGTGTGCATGTATGGAGCTTACATTCTTGCTGTGGAAAAAGCGGTCATAAATGAGATTGAACTCCAGGCTCCTTTCCGGACCCCATACGTTTCCCTTAGCTTTTTTCACAAAAACGAGTTCCAGCTTGCCTTCCGGAGACCTACCGAAGTCTGCCTGCAAACATAAGTGCTCAGTGAAGGAGCGGGGAACCAATTCTAACCCTATCGCATGTTTGCTGCAGACCAGCTGAGGACCCAGAGCTAGGATCCCTCCTGTCCGATTCGAAGGCCTCATTCAGTTGATGCATTCAACATTGTCGGAAGTCGCTGTTCGATTATGAGATTGATCCTTATTTTTGCGATCCAGCGCAATTCGTCTGTACGCAAAACATCGATTGGCTGGTCATTTAATGAGGACAACGATAGATAGGCACTAAGAATTCTAATAGATCCCTTGCGAAGCAAAGCGTCCGTGAGCGAGGCCACCTGCCAGTGTTCTGACGTTGTATGGATGGACTAGCTGAAATCTCTGTTGGTAAAGAAATGGATCTGGACCACCGCCGCTGTTCAATATCAATATCGATGATGCTAGCAGAGAGAAATGGATGGAAATAATGCTGGGGCCAGCACGATGAATGAGACGGGTTATCTAAGTATTAAAGCGTATTCATATTATATAATTCTTGAAATAAATAAAAAACGTCCTCCAGGAAGGCCACCGGTCGGATCAGAAATATAATAGTTGTTCCAAGAAGGAGATCGCCAATCATTTTAAGAATCAGTAGATGGATACTTCATTTTCCCACCTTACAATTTCCAAGAAAGATTATTCCAGAACCATTAGACTGCAAATACTTAAAATGACTTTCATCGCAACTTCTATAGGAAATGTTCATTTTGAAATCATTGCTTGAAGAGCTGTAGTGAATTCATCCGAATAACGTACTTATAAAGCGCAACAGCGATATAAAAAGAATTATTGTATGAAAAGATACAATTTTGCGCGCTCCATAATTAGAATAAGCAACGTCGCGACAGCTATCCTAGCGTCAAAGAATACAGATTCAACAATAGTTAAAATATACAAATTCTCTATCAAATGGATAGAGAATTTTAGGTTTTATTTAATGTAAACTAGCACTACCTGCAATCATCACACTGCCATTTTTCCTCTTCGCCATCACCGTCTGGGGAATACGTGGACCACGGGGGTCCAGCACAAAGTCTATGGCAGTGAACGCCACATGTCTGGGAAAAGGCAAAGTAGCTGATGAGGAAACCTGACAGATCCACAATAACTCACAATGCAACCATTCAGAGCCTCAAAAGGATTGAAAACCTGGTCATTTAGTGCGTCACTGTCATCATATTTGTCTGGTCCTAATGAACTTAAACAGCTTCTGAAATAAGCAGAAAAATTTGCAAGCAAACATGCAGCCGAGTTTATTTGCAAAGTGCAATAAAACCGAGATCGAACAGTTCCAACCAGGTGAAATTCAAGTCGGGATGAGAAATTACTGGGTCTGATGCGAGTAAACCTTAAAAGAAGAAGATTTTATACCGTTCTTTAGCTGCGGCGCGAACCATAGCGTAGTAACATCGGGAGCGATTATCTCCATTGGAACTTTCTTCTTCAGGGTCGGACATGGGATTGCTGCAATTCTAAGCCATACAATATTCAATAAATAAATAATTTTCTGAAACTCACTATGTTTGGAAGTAGATTCCCTGTCGTTTGATGGTCTCCTCAAAAAAAGTTTCCTCATTTGCTCGGTTACATGCAGGACATCGCATTTCTTGCCCTCGTACCAATGTCGCATTCTGAACATTAAGGAAATATTGAG